AAATCACCATCGTCACGCCTCTGGCGAGTTGCCTTATCACCTAAAAACTATCTATTTTCGTATTTTCATAGTAAAAGGATACAAATCACCCCGTAACAATACCTTACATATATTATCTTGCCTATACTCCATTAATAACATTATACAACGAAGTCTGTCAAAATATAATACTACAATATCGAATAGCAATAACTTTATTTCCAACTTCAATAATATCTACATTGCCCGACAGCTGCCTCTCAGTATAATCTGTAGTCATACTATTCATAATTTAGCTGCGGTTGTCAAAATAAATTAAACAACTTACTGTAGCTTAATAATCAGAACATTTCTTATAATTCCTTACTTTCGCTATATGTAATATTATGATAAAAACAAGAAGTATAAAAAGTAAAAATTCTAACGCTAATATTTCACCTAATGTTTTAAAACATTGTTTTAAACAATTTAAAAAACATATAACAATAAAAAATGTTTTTTTTTTATCATCCCTAATTGCCATACACAGATTATCGTTACTGTGCTTCGGAGCTTTAACTATGGCGTAAGCTACATTTTTTTTGTGGGCGATGCTAGGGCTGCTATTATACGTAACCTTTAAATTACTCATGACTACATTCAAGCTCGGTAATTAATCACGAACCTTGGAGATAGCGCACAATGGCTTAACTTTTTTAACCAAGACTTCATGCATAGTTAGTTTTCTGAATTTAGAAGTTAATATCAATTAGTAACGATAGAATTGTACATAAATCTTTATCAATAGTTACCAAATAAATCGTAACTATACAATGAAAATGCGTTACAAGTAGCTCTCGATATAAAAACCTTCGATATAAGTAACTCTCGATATAAGAAAGATTTATAGTAAAGCTCTTGATATAAGAAAATCTCGATATAAGTAACTCTCGATATAAGAAAGATTTATAGTAAAGCTCTTTATATAAGAAAATCTCGATATAAGAAAGGGTTTTACTGGATCCGGAAACTTTCTTATATCAAGATTCACTTGTATATAATAATCTTTTAAGTATCAAAAATCAATAGTGAAAGTTAATAAATTCGTCCTTTAAGTTCTCTTTATTACTATATACCATAATTTAAAAGATAGGTCATAAAAAAAATATAATAACCAATAACTAGCTATATATTTAGGATAAATAAATAAATCTTAGAAAATAATTTTACAAAATTCTTAATGAATAGGGGGTTTCAAAGTTAAAATCAGCAAATTTTATTTTATTTTTCCGGTTTGTAATTCAACATAGTAAAAATGCTATTGAAAAAATCCTATTTATTTTCGAAATGCGTCACTTATTTATTAACTTTGAAACCCCCTAATTGTACGTTGTGGAGCATAAATTTATTAGTTTACCTAGGATAGAAGAGATTAATATAAGAAGATATATGTATTAGCTAATAAAATGTTAGTCTTTAAATTGAACATCCACCCGATTAAATTGTTATAAAAAAAATCAGTTTTCGGCAATTTTTTTACCAACAAATATATGACATATCGCGTACGACTTAGACCAATTAAAACCTATTGGTAACTGCTCTAATAATTTGTCAAAGTCTTTTTTTGAAACTAATGAGCAAAAGGCGTCTTGATGAGTTTTAAAGCTTTGGAGAATTATCCCTAAGAATAAGATTCCTAGTTTATCTAAAAACGTAATGTTTTTATTATTAAAATTGAATAAAATTGGATAAATAAAAGATAATTTTTTCATACTTTGCAAAGAGTTATTTGACCAATCACCGATGATAATTTGTTTTTGTTCGTGACAAATATTCTCTAACTTGTTTGTATCATGTAGAAAGCGTTCGAATCTTATTAAGTAAGATGAAGGATTTTGAGATAGTAATGGGTGGCCTAAATTTATCATAGATTTCATATATTTAACAGCGCAAGAATAAATAAAAAGAGGATAAATGATATATTGTATACCTGTTTTGCACAAGGGTTTCAAATTTGTTGGCATATTTAATATCATATCATTTTCTACGACCTCCAAGTAGCCATTAGGCTTCAGAACTCGAAACAACTCGACTATAATCTTAGTTTCCCATTCTTCTTGGGTAAAAAACATGTACATAAAACGAATGTGAATGTAATCGAAAAAATCGTCATCAAAAGGTAATCCGTTAAGAATATTTGCAATTTGGAATTGTGCGTTGCGTGGTTTTTGAGTAGGAAATATAGGATGGATATCGACACCATAACAAGATGCATTAAAATCAGCAGCCAATTCACATATCCAAGAACCAGAGCCACATCTTAATTAAGAATAAAATAAAATAGAATAATTTTATTTAATAAATATTTTATGTATAAAAGAAAACATGTATTTACTAACCCGACATCAAGTACTTTAAAATCGCCTTTTTTTAGTTCATTATGGATTGGAGCTATAAAGTTTTGACCCCATAATTCACGGCAAATATCATGACTAACTTGGTATGCATTAATTTGAGATTCATTCCTCGGAATTAATTTACTTGGAGAAATTGTTGCGGATGAATTTTTTGAAAAACTTTTGCCCATTCTAAAACCGACTATTATTTAAATGAAATTGTTCACCTTATTTATAAAAATTAGTCGAATATATTTTTCTTTTTTGATATCTGGTTGAATTCAAATATTTGGTACGACTTATTAATTTTCGTTGATGTGATACTCAGAATAAATTCTAAATATAATATAAATTTTGAATGAAACATTTTACGTATCTGAGTTACATTTTAAATTTGTTTCCATTTTTGTTCTTGGTAAACGTTTTCAATAATGATCTTAAAATCTTTGATGTAATATATATGTCTATAATTGAACTTAATTTTCGTTACCTGCCGATGTCCGACTATGCTACGTGTTTATACACCAATGAATTTATCTGCTTACTACCATTCATTAACGTCAAATGCTTATCAAATATTAATTATTAACTTTCAGCTTCAACCAATAAATTTACTTCTCCATTGATCTCAACCTTGCTACGTAATGATTTTATTTTTATTTATGTATTGGGAGAATGAATTCGTATTTTGGATAATAAATTATGTAATAGAATTTCCATTCGTTACTTTTATTTAATTAAAAAGTATACATTGTTAAAACTCGGTATTGGAGTCATCGAACAGCGTGGATAATCCTGAAATCATGTAATCCGACTTTGAATAATCCAAAGTTTTTAAGTTATTAAAATTGTTTGAAATTGACTTTACATATTCAGCATACTAATACTAAAAAAAATATAGATTAGTAAAGAGAAATATATACTATTGGACACTACGTGTCTATACACCGATATGTTTATTATAATTATAAAATAGCACAAAAAATATTCCTTGCAAAATTTTAACATATATATTATAAATATATTAAAGCTAACCTTAAGTAGGTTAATTTTATTTTAAAATATTGATAAATTTATATGTTAAAAGAATTTGTAAATAATATGTGCATACTCAACGTGTGAAAAAAAGATTTTTTCATTAGTAATATACGCTGATAAATTTGGAGAGAAGCAGAGGACACTATGAAAAAAAATGTTTGTTTATTTCTTGGCTCACACTACAAGTGTTAGTTTTTAATGCATATGTAACAAACATGTAATTACGTAGCAACTAATATATATAATTAAGTCAATTATAATGTACAAATATGTAATTATATAGTAAACTATATATACCTGATACGTATTTAAGTCAATTATACACATAGAAAATCTGGATAATCCGATCTCCGAATTAATCATTAAAAAATATAAATTAATTTTATTGATAAAATTTTTTGAAGATTTTGCAGCCTTTATTAATAGAGATATTATTTGAGTAACGGAATATGAAAACCTGTAAATCTTATTCATACTGCAATGATATCTATCCCTATAAGAATTAGGGGTACATATTACTGCAATGATAATTAGTGAAATGATTTACAGGTTTCCATAAACCGGGTTTAAATCATCATACGATTTAATAATTATCATAAGATTTAATAATCACGATTTAATTATCATCCGAAGCTTAATGTTTTATTACACTAAAATGCAAATTAAAAAAATTGGATCAAAAACGCAACCAATGCATCTGTATGGACAGACACTAAGTTATAAAATTGCATTATTCGATTAGATAACTATAGATACATCAAAAATGTAACAATAGTATCGCCTTGAGTAATCATTGAATGTCCTTCGCTACACTCGAGACAAGAATGCAATTTATGTAGTATGTAGGAACATATATTGAATCCACTACGTTTTAGCAAAAGCGAAAGTATAATTAAATATTAACTACTGTATTAAATTTTTGAATACCGTATCCTATCGTGAATAAGCACTACATCCTCTACCCCAATTTTTAAATGTCAGATTAGCGGAAATCGCAATGAAATCTTTAGCCAAATTATTACCGCTAATCTG